ATGCAAGGCTTAATAAATTTAAAAACATTAAAATACTGCAGAGCATCTTATCAGATCACAATGCTATAAAATTAGAAATCAGCAATAGGAAGATCAACAGAAAAAGAGCAAACAAATGAAAACTGAATAACACCCTCCTTAAAAATGACTGCGTAATAGAAGAAATAAAGAATAAACTTAAAAAATTCCTTGAATCAAACAAGAATGAAAACACAACATACCAAAATCTTTGGGGCACAGAAAAAGTAGTGACCAGCGGCCAATTTATAGCAATAAATACACATATCAAAAAAAGAAGAAAGAGCTAATATAACCAACATCTCCAACAATTACATTCAAGCAAAAATAAATGAAACAGAAAATAGAAAGACAATAGAAAAAATCAACAAGACTAGAAGTTGGTTTCTTGAAAAGATTAGTAAAATTGGCAAACCACTGACTAACTTAAAAGAACAGAGGGAGAGAATACAAATAACGTGAATAAAAAATGAATTGGGCAACATCACAACAGAACCAACTGAAATAAAAAGGATAATGTCAGGATACTATGAAGAACTGTACTCCAACAAATGTGAAAATCTAGAAGAAATGGACAGATTTCTAGAAACATACTCTTACCTAAACTAATACAGACTGAGGTGGAAAAAATTGAACAGGTCATAAAATATTACAAAAAAAAAAAAAAAAGCCTGGCCCAGTTGGTTTCACTGGAGAATTCTACCAAACATTCAGAGAAGAACTGACACCAATCCTACTCAAATGATTTCACAACATAGAAAAGTATGGAACCCTACCTCATTAATTTTATGAAGCAAGCATAACCTTGATACCAAAACAGGCAAAAACATCACTAAAAAGGAAAACTGCAGACAAATATCCCTCATGAATATAGATGCAAAAATCATCAACAAAATCATAGCCAACAGACTCCAACAACATATCAAAGAAATAATACATTATGACCAAGGTGAGTTCATACCAGATATGCAAGGATGATTCAACATTAGAAAAACAATCAATGTCATCCATCACATAAATAAAGGAAAAGAACCACATGATCATATCAGTCATTGCAGAGCAGCCATTTGATAAAATTCACCACCAATTCCTGATTTAAAAAAACTCTCTGTGAAATAAGAATAGAAGTGAAATTCCTCTGTGTAATAGAAGGGAAATTACTCAGAGTAATTCCTCAGCATATGCAAAACCAACAGCCAACATTATTCTCAATGGAGAGAGATTGAAACCACTCCACTTGCGAACAGGAACCAGACAAGGATGCCCTCCATCACCAGTTCTATTCAACATTATGTTGGAAGTCCTACCAGAACAATAAGGCAAGAAAGGGAAATCAAAGGCATCCAAATTGGTAAAGAAGTCAAACTATTCCTATTTGCTGATGACATGATCCTGTACATAGAAAAGCCAAGAGACTCAGCAAAGAAACTTCTGGAAGTAATTGAGAGATTTAACATCGTGGCAGGATACAAGATCAACATACAAAAATCAGTTGGATTCCTCTACACCAGCAAAGAGATTGCTGAAAAAGAAATAAGGAAATCAATACCATTCACAATAGCTACCACAAAAATAAAATACTTGGAAATAAATCCATGTATTTGGAACTGGGACACAAAAGACCTGTACAAAGAAAACTACAAAAAAAAAAAAACTTCAAGAAATCTACATAAATGGAAGAACATACCATGCTCACGGATAAGAAGATTGAACATTGTGAAAATGTCAGTACTATCCAAAGCAATCTATACATTCAGTGCAATCCCATTCCAGACCCCATCAACATTCTTTAAGGAAATGGAAAAAACAATCACTAATTTTATTTGGAAAGGAAAGAGACGTCGGATAAGCAAGGCACTGTTGAAGAAGAACAACAAAGTAGGAGGCCTCACACTGCTGAATCTCAAAACCTACTCTACAGCCACAATAGTCAAAACTGCCTGGTATTGGTACAATGACAGACACATAGACCAATGGAATAGAATTGAGAACCCAGAAATAGATCCATCGACCTATGGTCAGCTGACCTTTGACAAAGGGCTGAAATCCATTAAATGGGGAAGATACTGTCTGTTTAACAAATGTTGCTGGCAAAACTAGATATCCATTTGCAGAAAAATGAAACAAGAGCTGTACCTCACACCATACACAAAAAGCAACTCCAGATGGATCAAAGACTTAAATATGAAACCTAAAGCTGTAACGTTCCTCAAGGAAAAACTAGGGGCAAATTTAGGGGCCCTAATATATGGCATAAATAGACTATCAAGCATAATCCAAAATACACAAATAGCAGAAGATAAACTAGATGAATAGGACCTTCTAAAAAATAAATTTTTATGTTCTTCCAAAGACTTCTCCAAAAGAGTCAAGAGAACCTACAGATTGGGAAAAAATATTTGGCAATGACATATCTGATAAGGAACTTATCTCTAAAATTTATAGAAAACTCCAACACCTCAACAATAAAAAGACAAATAATCCAATTTAAAAATGGGCAGAAGATATGAATAAACACTTCACCAACAAACATGAAGAAATGCCCACAATCATCAGCCATTAGAGAGATGCAAATCAAAACAACAGTGAGATACCATCTTGCGCCAGCACTAGTGGCAAAGTTCAACAAGATAGAAAATAACAAATGCTGGGGAGGATGTAGAGATATTGGGACTCTCATATACTGCTGGTGGGACTGTCAAATGATGCAACCACTGTGGAAAGCAGTATGGTGATTGCTTTAAAAAGTTGGAATTAGAAATACCATTTGACCCATCAATCCCATGACTAGATATATATCCTAAAGAAGTGAGAACTGAGACAAGAACAAATATATGCACACCCATGTTCACTGCAGCACTATTTACAATAGCAAAAAGATGGAAACAACATAGGTGCCCATCCACAGAAGAATGGATAATCAAACTATGGTACATACACACAATAGAATAGTATGCAACCCTACAGAATAACATAGAATCTGCAAAACACCGCATAACATGGATGAACTTGGAGGACATTATGCTGAATTAAATAAGGCAATCACAGAAGGACAAATACTGTATTAGTCCACTATTGTGAAAAATCAAGGAAAGGTTTATATATGGAATGAAACTTTCTTTGTTGGTTACCAGGGGTGGGAAGGAAGGGGAAGGGAGGGGACACTGCTAGGTGGGTAGAGGTGAGTGTTGATTTGGGTGAAGGGAAAGGGCAGTGCACCAAATGTGAGTGATCAACACAGTGGCATTGAGGAAGAGGAAGATGTAGAGAAGTACATGGGAGGTACAGACAACAAAGATAAAGTCTTTTACACATACTGCACAACACAACTGTGTCGTCCATAAAGGCAAATATGGATATATAGGTGGCTAGATGCGTGAACAGGCTGAACAATCAGGTATGTCTAGGCAGGGGAGAGTGTTCACATGACCATGTACAGGGTTGGCAGATGATGTTTCTACAGGCGTATTTGTATATTCTGTAGGAAACTCCAGGTATATAGTAGAGCTGACAAGGAATAAGGTTATGGTGACTTCTTGGCCACAGACAGATACCTGGAGGGAGTGGGTAATTGGACCTCTGGGCTTGGTACATCAAGCTCAATTGGCATAACATACTACACAAAAACATTGTTCCACATCCTACTTTGGTGAGTAACGTATGGGATCTTAAAAGCTGGCAAGTGACCATCTAGATGCAATGATGGATCGCTCCTAGTCCAGAGCAAAGAAGAATGAAGAAAAGCAAAGACACATGGAAACAATTAGTCCAAAGGACTGGTACATTATGCAAGCCTCAGCCTATATGACCATGAGACTAGAAGAACTAGATGGTCCCAGGCTATCACTGTCAACCACTTGGAGGGGGATCTGTGTAGGAGATCCTGGATAGAGCGGAAGAACAATGTGGAACAAAAGTCAAAGTTATTTAAAAAAAAAAAAAAAAAAGTTTGCTAGTCTGATAGAGCCTGGTGAAACTCCTGAAACTATGACCCCTAGCTCCCCTTCAGGTCTGGAATTTAACTCACTCCTGTGGCTTCCAGCCAAATAAGAGAGCAGTATATGGACTGAACGTTTACATCAGGTAGATACACTCCTTGGAGAGATCAATCACGGGGATATAGAAGGGCAGTGTATGCACAGGGAGAGTGCTTGTGGGCAGGAGTGCATGAGAAGAACACAAGGAAGAGATAACTATGGGAAGGAATGGCAAGAGAGCTGTTACATTGTGGGAATTTGCAGTCAATGTCATGGGACAAAATGTGTACAAACTGGTGTATGGAAAATGAATTTGCTCTGTAAACTTTCACCCAAATCATAATAAAAATTGAAAGAAAAAAAATTTATAACTATTTTACTATCTGTACATACACTGGTATATACCTTTTGTTTTTACTGGATATACTAACAGTTTGTTCCTAATTTATGTATTTTGCTTACTATTTCTTTTACATAATTCATAACCATTCTCTTCTACTATTCTAATAATGAAACAGTGTCTAATTCAACTTACAGACTTGTTGCGGAGAAGGAACAGCAATATTACTACTTCCTAGGTGCACCAGTTAAGTACTTGGCTGGTAACTGAAAGGTTAGCAGTTTGAACCCACTTGGGAGCTCTGGTTGCATAGTGCCTAAGGCATGTACTGCTAACCAGAAAGCTGGTAGTTCAAACCCACCAGCCACTCCTCGGAAGGAAGGTTGGGCAATCTACTTCCGTAGTGATACTGCCTCAGAAACCCACGAGGGGTCACTATGAGTTGGATCTGACTCAATGGCAGTGAGTTTGGTTTTTTGGAGTTGCTCCTCAGTAAAGACTTAGTGTTCTGCTTCCCTAAAGGTCACAACGAAGAAAACCCTGTGGGGCAGTTCTCTTCTGTCACATGAGGTCGCCGTGAGTCAGAATCAACTCGACAGCACCCAAAAACAGCATGGATGAGTTTTTTTCTCATGTTTTAACTAAGTTTTCTCTCACTTTTTTAGGTATCCAATAATGCCATCAAAATCCCAAAGTGGTCACCTCTGTCAGAAATGCACCCTATAGATTATTACTCTTCTTACACAAAAAACTGCACTGGGAAGTTTACCAAAAAAGAAATAAAGAATATCAGAGCATTTTATTATGCTATGTGTGCTGAGACAGATGCCATGCTTGGTAGGTGGTGTAATTAATAACCAATTACATGAAGAAAAAGTATAATATTTTTTCAACAAACTCTGCTCATGCTGGTTGGTGATGTGTATGAATACTCTTGAATAATTCCATAGAGCAGTTGCTTAGAGACTTCAGGCTTGGAATTATGAAAACATTGACACATATGAAAGTTGGATAACTTGCATTATTAACAGTAGAATAAAAAGCCTTTTCTGTCTTCATTGTACATAAATTAACAAATGGCCAAATTTGTTCATATGTAAAGAAAGGTAGAAGACTATGATTTGCTTGAAATGAAACTTTTTATCATCTTTAATCTAGAGTCTCTCCAGCCCAACTCTAGTATACATGTGGGAGGTAATTGTAAGGCAGTTTAGGTTCTAGGAGATGAGAGTTTAGTTATAGACTCGTGCAACCTCTTATAGACTTATAAAAACTGTAAAATAAATCCATTCTCCATAAGGACCTCAGAACAAAGCTTAACTAAAGCTGAAATCAGTTGCCTCATGTATATTCTGGTCCAGAATCCTACTGAATTTCCTTCCTTCATTCAGGCTTAATTAAGGTCACCTCAGAACTAAACCTGTCTCCCAAAATGATCATCAAGAGAATGTCTTGCCTACTCCCTCATGGTAGTTTCTAGTTCAGGTGGAGAGTCACTAGCTAAGTGGAGAGATACTAAATAACAAAAGTTAGTTTCATAAAACCATATGATTTTATTTTCCTGCGCTTTGGAGTGGAACATAATTACATTAGGGAAGTATGAGAGCGGTTCTAAATAGAGCATTAGTATTGGATGAATGAATGGCTATTTATTAAAAAATATTCATTGGGAAAATAGAAAAGTATAAAACAGAAAACAAAAAAGCCATATAGACAAATTGTTTATAATGATAGCAATATAATTCATATTAAAAGTGTCATAAGAACTCTTCTTAAATGCAAATAAAACTTTTAAGTTTCTTTAGTCTAAATTACATATTTCTGTTGAATTGTTTCATTAGCACTTTGTGATATTCATAAGCATTCACCCATTTGCACTCTAGAAATGGTTTTTGAGAGTTTACAGCTATCCATTCATCCATATCTATCACAATGAAATACTATATAATATGTCAGGTTGGAGAAGTATGAGAACACTACTCTTGAAATCTCAGAGAAAAAAATGCAGCTGCTTGCTTACTTCAGGTTACAAAGTTTAAGGAATAAATTGCATCTTTGTTTTTAAATCTACATCGGATTGGTCACTAAGTAGTATTTATTATTGTTCAGTGTGTTACAAACACTTATTTAGTGCCTACTAGTTATCATGCGGGAACTCTGGTAGCATAGTGCCTAAGGCACTTGACTGCAAACTAGAAGGCTGGCAGTTCAAACCCACCAGCCACTCCTCAGAAGGAACGTTGGGCAATCTACTTTCATAGTGATAACGCCTCGGAAACCCAAGGAGGAGTCACTATGAGTCGGATACGACTCTAAGGCAGTGGGTTTGTTGCTGTTTACAGACCTGACTCAATTCTAATGTAAAATGAATCTTTCATTCTCAGCTTAGCTATCATTTCTGCAGGCCTGGGTACTTGATGCCTTCCTTAGCCACTTTACATCCATTAGTACACCATCACCATCATCCTGCTTATCTCTGCACCTGTTGCCTTATTTACCTCATAATCTTTAATTATTATGTTTATTTGTTTACTCTCTGTCTCCCTTGAAGAATGCAAGCTTCATGAGGGCAGGAACATTCAGTCTTACTTAACATTACATCCTAGGTGCCTGACATAGTGCCTGGCAGAGAGTAAGTGCACAGTAAACATTACTGAATGAATACAAATACCACGAATTACAATATAATGTAACTACAGTATTATTTATGTTATAAGGGTATACAGGGAAACAGTGATTCACTGTACCTCAAGGAGCAGGGAATGCTTCACTAGGGAGATAATGCTTGAGCTAGATAATAAAGGAATAGTAGGAATTTAACAAGGAGCTCTGGTAGCATAGTGCCTAAGCCACTTGACTGCTAACCAGACGGCTGGCGGTTCAAACCCACCAGCCACTCCTCGGAAGGAAGGTTGGGCAATCCTACTTCCGTAGTGATACAGCCTCGGAAACCCAAGGAGGGGTGGCTATGAGTCGGGGCCGACTCGA